CGCGGAACGCATCTGCATGTCTTTTGAGTGTGTGTGTGGTTTGATGTCCTCATATGAGGGCACACAACCGCACCTTGGAACTGCACCTGGGCACTGCACCTGGACACTTGGCATGACCATCTCGAGGGCTTGTGGACATTGCCCTGCTTTGCTGGGTAAAAGAGGGGAGCTACTGTGTTCGTGAGTGTGCCACCGTTGTTTGTGGGCATGAGGTTCGGGAATTAGATGCCGGAGCCTTTTCGGTTCGCGATGGGGTTAATATGGGCGCTGAGATGTGAATTATCCAAAGAGACGCCGAGTAGATCTGTGGCGTCGAAAAAGGCTTGCATTTGGTTATGATTAAGGGTTCGATTGAATGATGCTCGTTGAGATCTCACGGTCACATGACTACTCGATGAGAACGACCGTGCCCGACACTCAGTGTCGGTTTCTTTCAAAAGCCAACGAAGATAACATGATAGCTCACACAAGAGCTCACTTAGAGATGGGCGGCAAAACACGGATGCGGCCTGATCATCCAGACCAACCCCAGTCTTGCCAAGTGCATGACGAGAGGCGATTCAGACAACGTTGATGGAGACCACTCGGGAGCCGCGCGGTGGCAATCTCCAGTGAGGCGTAATTTCAACGTCCACGGGGTCAACCCTTGCCACGACAACAGGAGCCGCCTCCAAAGCGCCAGCAGCATTCTGCGAGTCAGTTTCGATAGCTGAATCATTGGGCTGCGCCCTGTTGTCGCCATCCTCGCTGTCCCCCGCAGTCTCGGGGGCGGTCTGGATCGTGTGTTGGGCAAAATGCGACATGGCCTCCTGGATAGCACTACCAAAGTTACCAGAAGTTAGATGATGTACTGTCGTGCATACAACAAGCTCGCATTCTTGCACACGAATTGAAAAGAAAAGAAAAGCATCAAGGGCGCCCCAGCAAGCATGCGCCTCTTTCCAACGTACGGGTCCATGGGCAAGAACGAGCGACGACGAATAAAGGCCGATCGTCTGTCTGCCTCCACTTGGTCCGTGCTTCCTCGTCCAAGACGCTCCAGCACACCACGGCGCCACCGCAAAGAGGATCGACGTCGGGCCAATGCCTTGCTCGGCTCTGACGCTAAACCAAGCCGCCAGTCCAATGACGTTAATGCAATCCCAAGGCCTCATCCTCACATTCACCCGCCCGCAAACACGCAGCAGCGCGCGGTTCTCAAATTCACCAATCTACTCCCTCAACGTACCAGAGGAGACGCAGGCAGCATTGGCCGTAATTGGTTCGGCTGGACTTGTCGGTGCTGGTTGCAGTCCCAATTGCGATGCTAGCGGATATCTACGCGCAGCCATCTCCAGCGATTGCCACATGGCAGCACGAGCAGCCTCATCTCGTGGTCGCTAGGGTCCACAGAACATGGAATAAGAAGTTCATCAGGTCTCATGGCCAGGCGTGTATGCCGTGCAGCGCTTAGCATCACCAACCTGGGCTGCTTTGTCCATGGCTGCGGCAGAGAGCTGGTGAAAGGCTGGCGGGTCGACCCGACGCAAATCAGCCAGGACGCGGTTCGCCAACAGTGAGACACCAGTATGCCAGTGCCGGGTTGCCTACACCACAACATGCCGCGCGGTTCAAGGTGAGGCGTTGAAAAACCAGACCAGAGAGAGCATCAAGGAAGCCCGACGAACAAGGGACAAGGCGCCAACCTCGAGAAGAGGATTCAAGAGAACGCCCATGCTATCTACAAAGCTATCCATAATCATGTACATGCTAAAGCTTGACTGCATGATCAGCAACGCTCGCTCTGCCACTTGAAAATGTTTGCTGCGCAGCGCATATTGCAACATTTTTAAAAGTATGGGCAAAACCTGTTGACATGGCCAAAAGGCAATGAGGCGCGTGCCCGACCAATATTCAGCCGGCTTGTCCCACCTCACGTATCGCAGAAGCGCGGACAAACCTCCTGAAAAGCATAGTCCGTGCACTCAATGAGGAGGTCGTTGACCTCGTTCAGGAAGAACAACTGCTTCACCGAGTTTGTTTTGGGCCAGTATCGCAATAACACTGCATTGAGGAATGAGGGAAAGGGAGGTAGTGACGTCAGGGTCATTGACATGATGAGCCGATACGTGTAGCATGGACAAGTTGAGAGATAAAAAAAAAAAGCGCCGAGAGATAAAAAAGAACCGCTGACACGTGCTTGCAGGTGGGGATCAGCTCATGAGCCAGTTGAACTGACCTTCAAGAGCGGGAACCAGGCTCTCTGGATCTTTCTCAGACAAGTACACCACAACGCAAAAGCTGAGCTATTGGGAGGTAAAAGCGAATGGGATGCAAAAAGCTGTAAGTATCGAGCAGGTGCTGCGACCGGAACCAAGGCAACCAACGTATCAACCTGTGATGCAAAGGGATTAATTGACTTGGCCGCATGCAAAGGCAGGATGACGTCAAAAAAAGCACGACGGTGCTCCGCGCGGATTGGCGTTGCGAAACCTTTGATGATGCTACCGACAACCTCAATGATTTCCTCGATGCCGTTGTGGGATTGTGACTCGTAGATAAAGCTGCAAGGCGTCATTGACCAAATCGCCAGCGTATTGCATTGACGCTGGTGAGCATTCAAGACAGACCAAGCGATGTCAGCTGCCAACCAGAGAAGCAGCAGACATACTGAAGCAACTCGTCACGAATGCATTTTCGTATGGTAGCACGCAAGCTCGGCAAGATGCCGTATACGCGATGCAGGATGGATTTCATCCAATCACGTTCTCGAAAATCCTCTGCAGAGCGAAGTCGTTGCAACACCTTGGGACAAAGACAAACGGTTGACGTGCAGGCCATGTTGGCGTCAGAATTACAAACAGAGTTGAGGAAACCTATGGCAAAGGGGGCACGGGAGCAATGGGTATGTGCTCCTTCTGACCTTGAGTACAAAGGGCTGCCGAAGGTATAGCCGTCCCACGTGAGAGTCAAAGAGCGGATTGGAGATGTAGGCAAAGAAAGCATTGAGTGCCAACTACGAGCACGCCAGCCAAGAAATGATATACGGCGCACGGTGGGGACAGCAGCCCGACAGGAATCACCCTGCAGGATAGCATTGGCAATGGCTCAAGCAAGCAGGACATGGTGCGCGCACCATTAAATGAGGCCAAGAAGGGTCAAGCACGCAATCGTCCTCTTCTAGATCAAAGTCGGCCCCGCCGAAGCTGGTGGGTGGTCGCGGTCGGGTCAAGCAGTTAATCTCAAACATGTTGACCATGTCGCCCACGAGGGTCATGGAGAAGGCCAACTGCGTGCATTGAAATTGTGGGGCACCAGTAACCGGATCCAACTCGAAGAGCTGCACCAGCTCTCGCAATGCGGTGCGCTTCATCTCTCGCGCTTTGAGGCTCGATAACTCGGCCCCAGGGCTAAAGTCGAACATGTAGTTGCAGTTTTGAATTTTCTGGCGCATGAGGGCCACATCCTCGAGAGTTGAACATCCTGTCAGCGCACATGTAACATGGGTAAGTTTTGACGGCGCCAAGAGAAAAAGGGCCGAGGGCTGATCGTGTTCGACTAGGCTCGACACCTTGTACCTCGCAAGGGTGGCAGGCGCACGGGTTTTGGAGAGGCTTTACTTGAAGAAAGGGCGGGCTTGGGTGGGCTCTGAGACGAGCGCCTCTGAGCCTGCATCAATTCAAAAGCAGAAAGCGATGAGTGCGCTAGACGCCATCCCTCTGCGGCGCTGACCGAGGGGCATGGCTACCAAGGAAGGCCAGCAGGCCATGGCAACCCAAACAAGCCAGAAGCGCACCTTGCTCAAGTTGTGGTTATTGAGTCCCGATCCAGGAGATGTAATCTTTTGGAAACCAGGCAAAGCGTGAAGGGGACTGCGGATCCCCAGCTCGCCGCGTCAGCCGCCTGGGCGTCAAGTCAAAAAGAGGAAAAAAAAACATACCTCGACATCGGCCTTGGAGACTGAGGCTTGCTCCTGCAACATGGTATGGCTACTCGAGTTGAGCATCACTTACTCACGGCGGGAAGGGCGGCGAGCAACTCCAGCAGCAGCAGGAGCAGGTCCGGCCGCTCCTTCAATGTTGCCCGTCACCATGGATCGAGACAACAACACGACAGGAGGTGGGGGAAGCAGTTGGGGCAACGGCAGCGTCGCAGGCTGCAAGTTTGGGTACGGAGGTGATCAGCTGTTCAAGCAGAGGATAAAGCGCCACAAACGGCAGCCCCAGCCCAGGAGATGCCTCTTCAGACTCGACCGTCTCAGCAATGACGGTACAAAGTAAGGAGAATGGCATCCAGTACAGAGAAAACACAACTTCACTCACTCCCAAACCAAACAACAAACAGCAACAGCTCGCGCGCGCGCGCGCTGGCCAAGTATCTGTCCTGCTTGTCCTTTGTGACGTACCAACCCAGGGTATGGTGATGAAGGTGATGATGATGAAGCGGGGGCTTCCGATGTGCTCGTCACAAGCGAAGGGAGCGTGAGGTATGGAACCTTGCTGGGCGGTCGCTGATGTCACTGCTGAAGAACAGACGCAATGCACGAGATCAATGAGTCTTGATGGTGCTGGTGTCATGTGCAGCAGGTGTGCTCTGAAGGAGAAAGGGTGGGCCATGGACCATCAAAGGGGGCACGAAGTTGCTTGGGGCTGGTGAAAGATGGGGGTTTATTGTGGGTGGTTGGGCGTGGTTGGGTCCGATGGTCCAGACTGCCCAAGCTTTTCTAGTTATGTGGTGGCTTTACCCTTCACCTCATCACCCACAGAGGCAGGCGTGGTGTTGGACACACACAGTCATGGGTAAGGAACCCTTGATCGAGGAGGGCCCTTTGGTTTTGCGCTTTACTAATAATGAGTTCATCCACTCACGTCTATCAAGTACAAAAATGGGATGGCTGGTGGGTGTTTTATTAAAACGATGATGGGGGTGACAAGTCGAACTCACCGTCGTGCCCGGCAAAGTCTGCCCCGGCGCCCCAAACCAGTTGGCACTTTGAAAGCTGATCACAAGGGCTTGGGGTTTCATCGTTGCAAGTTGCCGCCGTCAACTCGTCGCTGCGCCATAGAACCAAACACCCATGTGAAAAGAAGGGGCTCTGAAAATAAAATAAATTACTTTCCGTAAACACGCTTGTGTGGCTGCGAAAGTGCGGTTTGAGTTGAATTGGCGCACGGGGGAGAAGTCTTGTTCAAGGCTCTTAGCAGCCTCCATCACCCAGAAACGTGCGTGCCCACCCAGCCACCCCCCGGCCTGCCTTCCTCCCAACCCCACTACGCCAAAGTTGCAACTCATCATCATCACTACCAAAATATTCAAAGCCAAAAAAATAAAGTTTTAAATTCGATTTAATGATGTTCAAAAGTTTTATAAAATTGTTTGGACAAGGAAAGACCCCAAAAATATTCCGGAGTTTTTAAAAAACAGGGGTTATTTTATTTTGCTCATTTTCATTTAATTATTCTGTTTTCGGGTACATGTGCAGTAATTAGATTTAAAATTTAATTTTTTATCGATTTTTATTTCTTTTGTTCTTTTTTTGGCACGGGCGGGGTGGTGGCGGGGAGCAGCTCGTTGGGGCTCATTCAGGATGGATGCGTGCAGTGAAAGCTCCTAGAGGCTTCTATCCTTGAGAAGGCCCACTGCGCTGTCATAAATGTAAATTAGACCAGTGTGTTGGAAGCGCATGTGGTACCTTCCGTTGTGCACTGTTTGGGAGGGAGATCAAGCCTCCTTCTCCTGCTCTTGATGGCCGGCATCTTCGTGCGCGAGTGTGTGAGAGCGGTGTAAGGAATGGTGCTGGTCATGTCGGTTCTGGGGATTGATGTTGTTGATGAAGAGATGTAGCGCTTGTGAAAGGTTGCCGTCTCGTAGAGCCAAAACAATCTCATCTTTTTCCTGTACAGCAGACAATCGCAAGAGAAGTGCCAAGTCGTTCATGTCACGCAAGCTCGGAGAACGTCTCGCAAAGAGCATGAACAACCCATCTGGCTTGCTGCATAAACTGAGAATTTGAGATGGTGAGAGCTGGAGACAGGAGATCGACTGGTGAGGACGAGTAGGGCATGATCTTACCTCTGCACAGCTTTGACCAGCGTCGCCGATTTAAACTCCTTCACACCTGGGATAATTTCGCAGGGGCCTCTGTGTTGGCAAGAGGTCGGCTTCTCTCCCCCTGGTGTAACAAAACGGCAAAACCTTCGCAGCAAAGCATAGATTCTTGCGGATATAATCAGCACTGAGGTGGCCACTTGTGAATGGGTTCCAAGGATAGACTCGGTCAAGCCAAAGGTCTTGTAAGCAAGCAGAGAAGCACATTCAAAAAAATGGTCGCAGGTACAAGCCGCCGAATACAGTGTGGGAATGTTTGTCTGGCTGAGCCAACCAGCTCCTCTTATCACCGTTGTCGCCTCTCACGTCGCCAGCTAGACGACCGGAGCGGGAGATTCGTGCCACATGGACAATGTACGACGCTAGTGGATGCAGGTCACCGTTCTCCCTTGACCACCTTGCAAATTCAGCCGCCCCCATCAGTGTTTTCAAAATATCCTCTCGCATTAGCCTCATACCTGACGTGCGGTCGACGCGGAGAACATTTGAAGTTTCGAGTGGCGCCAGGCCGTTGAGAACGAGCAGAGAACTGGCGAACGCCTTCATCTCAAATTTTGCCTTTGAACATCCTCGAGGCGGGCGGCATGCGTATCGGCCTGGACTCTTCCGCCTGGCTGTCCCTTGTGGTTCTCTGAACCCGTGTGGCGTCCTGTGCAGCTCCATGACGTGAGAGTCTGCGACTGGTGCCACAGTTGGTATCGTCGACGCGAGAAGAGAAGAAAAAAATAGCAAGTGTGTGACGCGGTCGTTACAAACCAAACTCAACGGCCACGCCGTTGCAACAGTCACTTTTGCTGACAACGACTTGCTCGCTCGATCATCAGTTTGCCAAGTTTGCCAGGTAACGTCATGGCGGCAGGAACGGATCAAACACGTACTGATGCCGCTTCGCCGGCACAGTCTTCAGAGCCTCTGCAGCTGCCTGCTATGAATACCTGGCCAGATCTCTTCTCTTTTGACCCTGAATGGGAGCAAGAGGTGTGCCGCGTAGTATCACAATCAGGAAAACCTTATTACCGTCAGCGACCGCGCCGGCCGCGCCAATCAGACGTGGGCTTCCTCGGGCCAAAGCGGCCCGTAGGCCGGCCAAAAAGCGCCTCAAAGAAAGCAAAGAAGTCCAAAAAAAGCCGGAAGCAGCGCATGATGCCCAGTGGAGCTGTGGGGGCTCACAGACCGAACACGGATCTCCTACCGGTCTGACCAGCGCTCCTTCATCGCCAGCCCATGAACTCCCAGCGGGAGGACAGCTGCAGACTGAACACGGAGACTGAAGATTTGCACACAGCGTCGCACTCAGCAGCTATTGAAGATGAGTCGGAAGCTGATAGCGATTGTTCCGATAACAGATCAGAGCTAGGATTTGGAAGTGACGCCATCGCCGACGATCCTGCGTTCGGCTTCAGTGACGACATGCCTTCCGCCTCTGACCCTGGATCGGACGATGACGCCACCTCTGTCTCCAGCTCCAGCTCTGAGGAATGCAGGGCGAGTGAAGACGATGGCTTGGATGCCTTCCTTGACGGGCTGGATGGGGAAGACGCAGCTTTGGAATGTGAAACCGCCCCAGGAACTCTAGCATACACGACAGCTTGTCTTGTGTGGCTAACATTTTCCTTCTTGCAGAGCAGATCGTGAAAGAGCACGGAAAGTTGGTCGAGGTATTTGATCCAGAGACTGACAAACATAACAAGGTATGATGTGCCACGATGCATTCAACTCAATGTTGTGTTTTCCCAGTGATTGCCGCCATTGCTGTGCCAGAAAATCCATGCCATCTTACATGTGTATGCGTGCATGTGCGTGTGTGTGGGTGCGTCGACAACACTCGCATTCTCGCGTAGCTTAAAATTGTCATAACACGACTACTGGTCGATACTCCCCGGCGGTCCGACTGTGCAAGCCATGCGGGCAGCTCAAATTTTCCGTGCTGCTATTGTGAACAAGAAAAGAACAAAGACCTCGCCGACGCTATCATTCAGATGAAACCGCCCAGCAACAAGAGCAACGAATATTATGGCCCAGGGGTCAACCGCGAGTTAACTCTTGAAGAAGAACCATTCGAGCTGCCGTGGATGAAGACCACTGACCCAGACGAGTCCAAGGCTCTCCAGAAAGCAGAAGACCTTGGCTATGGAGTAGCCCAGGAACCAAGCTTAGCGCCTCTCCGGACGCATGCATCCGCCACGGCCAACCACGAGTCGTTGGGTTACAAGGACAAGCGCAGCCCCTGGCCCGCCGTCATCGACGTGTATGACACGTTCCAAAACCCACCCGAGAGCCTTCATTTATGGGCATTGGGCATACTCAAGGTCAATCCCACCTCTTGGCATGCAGATGTATTATGCCCTCAAAACAATGTCTCATTCCTGCAAATGTTGTTGCCCTTCTCAGTATGTTGTGCAGAATATCCGCGACCTCAGCGCGCGTGGGTTGTCAAAGACCGTGAGAATCAGAATGTCCCGGGAAATGAAGACTTTGATCCAAGATTATGAGTATGTCTGGCCTGCCGTCGGGACACTCGAGCGATGTCTAACAGCTGTTGTGCCAATAGGCGCTTGCATCCCCGTGAAGGTCACAAGCCTCGCTTGAATGAGATGGGGTCGTGGAACGGTGCTTCATATCGATGGCAGTTGAACGAGAAGGTGTTTTGGATTGCACACGCTCCAGGTAAGAGCACCGAGTTTGAGTACTCCTGTGGATTGACCGTGCTCACTTCCGCACAGGCCACACTAGGCCTAAAAATACCCGCCGAGGACTGTCTGTGACTAGGATGATGCGAGTCGTGGCCTTGTGCTTTCGATGTGCCGAGGTCGGATCACGGCGCACCGGTGCTAGCGCAATTATCGTTTGTGTCGTGTGCCTTTTATAATTTTTCGCCATGACACGTCTCATACCATGAACTCATCGTGTCAGATTGCCCTTGGCCCCAGCACGACAGCTGAGGAGCGGCAGGAACTCGACTTGATCGTTGGACCAAGAGTCTTAGAGCTAGCCTGGCCAAACTCTCTAAAGGCCCATCACGTGGTAAGCCATGCCGAGCACGTTTACGACCCGACCCACCTCACAGCATAATATATTTTTTTTTAGACGTGGCACCTTACTCATGCCCTGAAACAATGCGGACCAAGGTTTCTGTCAAACGAAAGGTCGGAGACCATGAACAAGTACACAAAGGCGGCTGCAAAAAAATCCAACAGGAGGCATCTCGCGCGTGATATCGGACGCGCCCACCTCATGCAGGTAAATTAGTCGGCCGTTGTACCACAAACAAGACACAAAGCTTACGATGTGCTTCAAATAGACGAAACTGCTGTTCAGCCTGCATGGTGCACCCACAACACCACCACGCGGCATCGATAAGAGCGTATGGCAAGCCACATTGGTTCGCCATGCTCCAATGCTATTCCAGCTACTAACAGCAGAAGCCGACGCCCAAGGCCAAGCGCATCGTCACCTGAGACTGAGCAAGACAATGGCCAGGTGTGACATGACTAGTCACAGGCAACACATGATACATTGAAAAGTTTATGCCAGGCAAAACTGATTATCGCTTCCTGCCATGCGTGTCTGCTGTGTTTACAGAACGCCGGGCAAGAGGGCCCTGGCCCAACCCCTCTCCGAGTGGATACAGTTGATTGGTTTCGACGCGACAATGCCCGTTCATGGCGTGAGTGCTTTCGAGGACAACACGTTCACCGGGTGGAATCGCTTGTCTTGGGGTACCAAATGGACCATTCGCGGTCTATCAACCTGGTCAGAAGAGGCACCACGCCCGCGCCCGTGGACACGGCTACGTTATGAATACATTCTTCGCACCCGCGATGGATTGGACGGTATGCACTGGTGTGCGCATTTCGACCGGTTCAACAATAACACTCACTCAATGGGCCCACTTCACAGGCGTTTTTCTGATGGGATTGAAGAACACTGGCGGACCAGAGTCTTTGATGCTGTTGGCCATCCTCGATCGAGACACAGACATGCTTTCGAACGGCTGTCCAACGCATCCACTAACATATTGGTGCCACCTCCCCGGCTACAAACACGAGTCGGCCCAAGCACGATTGGCTTTAGTACAAGTCTCTGACGTTGTAGAAGTTGCAAGCATGAACCACGACTGTGCAACGAAGCGAGCATGCCGTTTCGGAGACGGCAAAGGCTGTCGAATCGCAGAACATCCCTTGTGGATCCGCACCAGAGTCATATGGGACGTAGAACGACAACTGTTTGCGTAGAATTTGAACTGACGACATGTGAATTGACATGTGAAGTTGCAAAACAAAAGATCCATTCGACCAAACAAAAGAAACAATTCAGAGAACGGAAGAGAACAAAAGAACAAAAACAGACAACAAAAGAGACAACGAAATTGTGAACTAAAGACAAAAGAACAAGATCAGAAAACAAAAGAACTCGAATAAGAACAAAAGAATCATTTTAAGCAAACAAAAGAAACGAAAGAACAAAATCAGAAAACAAAAGAATTTCGCTCTCGCACGTTCGGAGAACAAAAGAATAACGGCAAACAAAAGAATTGGCCAGTAATGTCATAAGCTTAACCTCGATTTCCAATTTTTTTGGCTTTGAGTATTTTGGTAGTGATCAAACAACATTTGTCAGCAAAAGTCAACTTTGGGCTGACATCCGCGATCCGCATATAAAGTAAAATACTTCAGCCGGTGGTCTCAGCTCGGGAACAAAAGATTTTTGCTTTTGACTTTTTTTTCCTTTTTTTGCTTTTTTTGCTTTTTTTTAAGTGACGGCGCAGGATGGCAGCCAGTGAGGCGGATGCCACTGCGGTAAGTGGACCCATACGTGGGTGATGTGTGCCATTGTTACATTCATGATGGGCTCGAGACCACTGTTGTTGCTATTTGATGGGGCTCATGTACCTGCCTGACCGGTTTGATAGGTGGCGGATCTACTCAACAATGCGCAGCTCGAGTCAGACAAGGCTGAACGCGTGCTCGCGCTGCAACAGGTAAGCCGCGGCAAACTTGGGGCAACGATCCCATGCCCCAATCTGGTGCCGCTTGTCAGTGCTGCTTTGAATAATTTCACAATCCCACACGTGCTAGATCGAGGAGCTCCTGCTCAAGAAGTCACCCGAGCTGCTCGACAACTTTTTTGAGGAGATTCTGAACTTTCAGCTCGATTCGGCGCCTGACGTGCGAAAGCAGCTGGTGGACTTTGTGGAACGAGCAGCGTATGTCATTCCATTCTCACCTTGTTTGCAATTCCCCAGCTTCCTTGGACGGGCACCAAGACGCCCTTGCTCTCATCGAGCAACCTGAACGCCTCGCGTCGTCACTCACACGTGTCATGCTTGGGCCGCCATGGCACAGATTGATTGATGCGGGTTTGATTCCGCGCATGGTGGATAGCCTCACCTACTTGTATAATGACACCAACAGTGGCGTACGTTTTGAAGTCCATACACGCCGAGCCACGAATCATGTTGCCTGCCCCTCCCTGACTGGTCTCGCTAAGCTCACAACATGCCATGGATTCGGACCACCTTCCTTCAGGTGGTCAAGCGGGCTTTACAGGCGGCCGCGTGCTTGGTTAAGCACTGCTTGCAAGAAGCTTGCGATCACAGCCGAGGTGGTGGTCGCGTCACGCAGGTAAAGCTCTCTTGCTTGGCACGGACGCCGTCACGTCTGGCCACTCGCCTACCCTCACGCCCGAGTGCCATCGATACAGGATACCTGGGAGAGCACGATGCGCATCGTGGATGCAGGACTGCAACAGCGTGCTGCAGCCAATGAGGGCGTCAAAGCCGCCTGCATGAAGCTGATGGAAACTTGCGTCTTGCTTTTCTCGAACCGTACTCAAGACACTCAAAAGAAGTCACAGGATGACCCCTCCCTCGACCTTGTCTCCGGAGCCCACCACTACCTCGACGTGCGACTTGCGACCGTTCGGGTCCCGACCAGTTTTTGACTTTATCATCTGCAGTCATGCTCACCGCTGTCTCTCTGGTCGCGCTTTCCTGCTCATTTTCACCACGCAGCCTCAAGTACTGCAGGAGAAGGGCCGTACCCTGTTTTCTACCCTGGTTGCGCTAGGCCAGAGCCATGACATCAAGAATACCAGTATGACGGTTGTCATCAGTACCCTTGTCAGCATCATGCGTCAAGTAAGCAAGATTTTTCGGTCTCTTGGCGCCAAGTGCAGAGCACCATCATCTCACTGCGTGTGCGTGCAACTTTACATAACTTGCCAGCGGCCACAATTCATGCACCAAGGCATTCCTTTCTTGCAAGAGTTGGCCAAACAGCCGCCCAAGCACTTTAAAGTAGGTCATCGTGAAGGAGGTCGTGGCCGAAGCCGGCCTTTGAAATTGGTTGCTCTCGGTTCCCCTCAGCCTCAGCCAACCGTATCATGATTTGCAGGAGAGCACGGTGAAGAGTTTAAACAGAACGCTCAAGACTCAGCTTCTGATTATTTTGAAGCACGATGCGTCACTTGCCTTCCATGAGCAGGTCAGACAACCCGTCTTGCGATCAATGCCCCCGAGATGCTCCCACACCCTGCTTGCCGTTCTTTGATCGTAAGGCTTGAACCTAACATTGCTGAACGGCGTCTCAATAGCTTATTCCCTTACTCAAAGGGCTCGGCGCCCAATCACACGAGTACCGCAAATTCGACCGTCGTGCCGAAGCACGGGAGCAGGGTCTACAGGCTACGGCTGTGCCCGTGGCCCAGGACCCCGCCAGGTAGATGCAAAGCTTAGCCCGCGGGCCAGCCTTTTTCGCCGTCGCCTCACCCCACATGTTACTTTACAATAGTGAAACAGGCACCGCAACCGGTGAACCCCCGGCCAAATTGGCTGTATGTTCATTCCAACTAGTGCCTCTGGTTCTCGTCGGACGTTTGATCACTCAAAAGTCTGCTCGTTTTGTTGCCCTCTGTGCCCTTGATAGAAACACACGTCGCCGTATTTGGAGGAGAGCTATCTGATCAAGCATTTGCGTCCTGAACAACTAGCCGAGTTGATTTTGCAAAGGTATGAAGTCCATACAAGTTCTCCACAGCCATTTGTCTGATGAAGGAGGCGGAACCTGGTTACATTTGCGTGTGCTTTGAGGGCAACACTCACCCCCTCCCTCCTCCTTCTTTCTGCTTTGGTGCTGTGACCGAATGTGACTGGTGCTCAGCTTGGCTCTGGCAGACATGCCCCAGCAAATGCCGGCCTGGCTCGAGGACGATGGACAAGCCACAACTGGCATCTCGGCTCGCGCTCAACGAGGTAGATGATTTGAGTGTCGACGATATCGGCCAAACGCTTTTGCCCCAGCTCTTTTCGACATGTCGTCACTTAATTTTTTTTTCTCGTAGTGGCTGGCCGAGGCGGCGATGCTGAAGCTCAAATGTCCAGTTTGCATGCCGCACCGGCGTTGCCCGACGTCAAGCCGAGCGAAGTGCCAACGCCACAGCCAAGCACTCGAACCAAATCGCGCAGGTCTCGACTCGATCGATTCAAGGTCAAGGCTGAACCCATCAATGCGGGTCGAGCCCGAACGTTGATCACACAGTGTTTTGAGCGATTGCTAGCTGCAGAGCCCCAAATGAAGACAAGCGAGTCTCGCCAAGCATACCATCATGCACTCTGCGCCATGGTCATCGCTGACTACTACAACGCCACAGAAGAGGTTCTGGGACAACTCAAGGCCAATGTCGACGCCAGCGACAGTCCGAGTATCAAGACGGAAGCCATGGATACAGCAACCGATGAACCAGAGGCCGTCAGCGCCACGCCACGCAAGCCCCTGCGGTTATCGCCATTTCAAGAGCTGTTTCTGGAGCACGTGGCTGAGGAGCCTCTGGCGCGCATGGATCTGTCAATAACCCTTATGTATCGACTCTGGGCGAACAGCGCATCCTCAAGCGTGGAGGATGCCGAAGATCATTTGGCGCAGTACGATTTCTTGGCTGCCAAAATTCTTGTCTCCATCATCCCAGGACTCGAGGTCAAAGATCACAACCTTATTAAACTCTTCCTTGAAACGCCCTGTCTGAGCCCAACAGTGGTTGAGGTGAGTCACGATAATGGTTGGCTGTTTCTGGCCCTTTTTGGTTTGATTCATGCGCATGGTGTCGCTGTATGTCAGATTTTGGGTTCCTGCTGCAAGGACGTGAATCGGACTGAGGTGGCCATGGTGGGCCTGCGACAGTTGCTTCAACTTCGACCAGGGGCGCGTCCTGCCTTGTTTGCTTTGCTGCGGGTGAGTACATTCGCATGGACCTCAGCTGGTGTCGTAAAAGCAAAGGGTTCTCGTCCCTCCCCACACACACCTCTTTCATTCTCTCTCTTTCTCTGCCCCGCCCTTTTCCATGTCTTTTCATGTTGTGTGTGTGTGTGTGTGTGTGTGTGTGTGTGTGTGTCTGTCTGTCTGTCTGTCTGTCTGTCTGTCTGTCTGTCTGTCTGTGTGTCTGTGTGTCTGTCTGTCTGTCTGTCTGTCTGTGTGTGTGTCTGTGTGTCTGTGTGTCTGTCTGTCTGTCTGTCTGTCTGTCTGTCTGTCTGTCTGTGTGTGTGTCTGTGTGTCTGTGTGTCTGTCTGTCTGTCTGTCTGTCTGTCTGTCTGTGTATTGTGTGTTGTGTGTTGTGTGTTGTGTGTTGTGTGTTGTTTTGTTCTTGATCACCACCATCGCAATCAAATTGGCAGGAATTGGTCTCCAGTGAGCACGAGGCCGTGCAAATTGCGGCTATTCAAGCCTGTCAGAAACTCATCAAGGTCAGTGACAAGAGTTTTCCCTGCTTCGTTGGCCTCTTATCAGGTCATATGATTGTCGCTTTCGCCTGTCACATCAAACAAGGTCACGCCGAAGCAACGATTGCCGATGAATTCACATCTCACGTCGACCCTCTGTACAGCTGGAATTTGCACAGGAGACGCTGGTGCAGATTGCTGGTGATCTCTTCAATGCTGGGCTGAAAGCAGGTGTGCGGTCATGACAGCTGCGGCCACCTTGATCTCAGACCAGACTTGTCATTGCCTGCTCACTCGCCCATGTCTTCTTGTGGCGGCTTCTAACAGTCGAAGAGCAGGCCACGGAAACCGACTCGAGCCTGGCCATCATGACCAGCCATGGCCGATTGCTCCTTGCGTTGCTCCCGCACCATCCAAAACTGCTCCGTGTGCTTGTCTCTGCCTGGGAAGATGCTGCCAGCCCCGTCAAGAAAGTCATGATGAATCTTCTTGAGGAACCGGTGCGTTTGATTGGGAGGGGAGCCCGGCTGTAAAACAGCCACGGGTCATCCAGCACTATGCTGCGCCTGATAGTTGGCGCGCCCGTGGTTGTGGAACAGCCTCACATGCCTGTGGATGGAATGTGGGGTGTAGCTGCAAACAATTGGCTCAGGTCACGAGGAACTCTTGCGGGAAGTCCAAGTTATTGCCGAAGAAGGTCACAAAACCATTGCCCTCCTGTGCCTACGCTTCATGTGCCACTTTGGCGTTGGGTTGTCTGCCATCGAAATTGCCGTCAAGCTTGCGCTGGTACAAGATGGCGAGCGCCGAGCGCAAGCTGAATACTTGATTCCCGTTTTGCGAGGTCTCAATCAGGCAGGTCCAACGCCATTTCCTTGACTCACCACCATTGACCTGCAGTTGCGATTTCGCGTCTCACCCTTGACCACACGTGATGCCTCTTGGGGGTTTGATCTTTTTATTTTATTTCTATTTATTGATTTGTTTTCGCATGTAGCCTCGTCTTGAGGAGCTGCTGCCAGTCTTGCTGACCTTGCCACCCGCTGCCCTCCGCGATGCCATTCTGCGCATGACACAAGCTGGGCCGAGTCAGTGTTTTCGACCCGTGAACCAGATGTTCACAATGTCTTTTTTTTTTTTTTTTTTTTTTTTTTTTTTTTTTTTTTTTTTTTTTTTTTTTTTTTTGCACGCCTGTCTTTGCAAATTCGCATGCACTGGAATCTCATGCCATGCACTCGGGCGTTTCTTGCGCGGTGCTTTTTGCAGAGCAATCCCTCCCTGTATTTACGCCAGAAAACTTTTTGATGGCCTTGCACCGCCTAGCACATCGCGAATCACGCCTACTTCCCGTGCGTGGCCTCGTATCCAAGTCTAGTCGTATTAGCTTTAGCCCAGTGCGCTCATGTCAGGCGCTCGCACTCTGGTGACCCGATGCAGATTGTGCAAGTGGCAGTTGATATCTGCTTGAGCAACGGCGAGGACGGTTATCATAGCATGACCGGCATCTATACCATGGAGGTGCTGGTGACGGCGTTGCAGCGAATCTGTAACATGTCACCCATCCCCCTGCTGCTCTTCCACACCGCCTCGCGCACTTTGCGCAATTATCCCAATCTCACAGGTAAGGTGCATATGCTGGTGCATGCGCAAACTGTGGTGTAGCGCTCACGCTGCCACGACGCTGATCTAGATTTTATTGTTGACAACGTCTTGGCCAAGCTCTTGCACAAGCAGGTATGTCTGCGTCTACGCGTTTGATGGGCGTTTCAGCCCTGCCGCTCTATGCTGACCTTTACTGGTTATCTTTCTTCGATGATCTTTCTTCTGCTTCAGGTGTGGAAGACGAATGGCATGTGGGCGCCGCTCAAGAATCTGATACACACGTGCCAACCCAAATCGTTTGAGTTGCTGCGCCTCCTGCCTTTGGCACAACTTGACCGACTCCTGAAGGTATGGTCTCTACCATCACACATGCGTGTGCTTTTCTCGCTCTTTTTTTTTTTTTTCTTTTTTTTTTTTGGAAGGCGCTTTCTGTTCGCTTTTCGACTGCCATCTGGGCCAGCAGCAGCCAATGCTCAAGAACTGTCCGCTCTTTTTGGTCCATCATGTGTGTGTGTGTGTGTGTGTGTGTCGATTTTGAGCAGGAATTGCCGGAGCTGCGCGGGGCTTTTTTTGTCTTTGCGCGCGCCATGCCCACGGCCGTGGCTAATGCTTATCCTCGCAAGCACAAACAATGGCTGTCCTTGCAACTCAAGAACGCCGATGCAGCCGGTGCGACCGCGGGGGCAGACTCGAACGCGCCAGAGTCACAGCCAGAAACCGATCCAATGGAGGATTTGACTGCACCGCCCCCAGATTTGGATTTGGACAGCGACGAAGACTTTGAAGCCCCACCCGAGTCTGGTCGGGATTCAAGGCTTCTCTTGGAAGGCGATGCCGCTGCTCCCAACGAGTCACCTAAGGAGACTGAGCAGGACGACGACGATGACGACGATGGTGACGCACCGTACATGCCGTCATAGAGCTTGAGCTGTCGAATACACACCGGACAAGCCCTCTGACCCATAGTTCAGGACAGGGAATTGATTCAAATTGAAGAGATGTCAGTGACAACAATGTGACTGGTCGCGAGTTTGAGCTGATGAGGCGACCGAGCCGTAGCCAGCAGAAAAAAGAACGGAAAAAAGAAAAATCGTGGATTTCAGAAAAAACAAAAAAAAAAGAAGAACCCTACACGTGACCCGTGACACACAGGCACGGCGCGGACGACAGGGTATGGGATCCAAATTGGCAGCGCCAGCTTGGCTGCTGTTAAACTTTAAGGATCAGAAAGGATAAAACAAGACACCCTTCCCTTGAGTTGAACCAGCTGTGCGCTGAGCTCAGGTCGCGCACTACCAATAACAGTGCCGCTCACGTCATTCCGTTGTAATCACACGTTTCTCGGATTTCGTATTGTGTGTGTGTGTGTGTGTGTGTGTGTGTGTGTGTGTGTGTGTGTGTGTGTGTGTGTGTGTGTGTGTGTGTGTGTGTGTGTGTGTGTGTGTGTGTGTGTCATTTTCTTTCTGTCACTCGCTCGTGCATATTTGGCAGCGCGCACGTGTGTATGTGTGTGTGCGCGCGCCTGTGTGTGAGAATAAAAAGACGGGCAGCGGATCAAGGTGTTTGCCTCCAGCGCCGATCTTACGTACGAGCCACCGTGTGTGGAAGCAGAGGCTCATAGCCTGACTACCTTCTCTTACCAAATCAGTGAGTCTTTCCATGCAGTTGGTGCAATCGCGCAGCGGCGGATCCCCGTCGCTGGCCAGCCGCCGCAATGCATTTGATCTCGATCAAGCAGCCACGAGCTGATCCCGCCGCGCTAGCTCACACATGCACACACTCACGTTCTCTCCCCATTTTGCTCTTCATACCCTGGCGCACTTGGCTCATCGCTGCCTTCCCACCTGCCCTTGCTCGTTTCACTGACGATTTCAACCAGGCGCGCATCACCATGGCGAATCTCGGCGTGATGGCTCGAGCACAGCCTTGGCTATCCAATGTCATGACGGCTGTCTCAGTCATGAGGCGGAATATGGCTCATCGTGCTCTACCGACCTATCAAGCGCCTTCCTCCACCACCGGCGCGCCTTCTCAGGACGTGCCTTCGCATGTCGGATATCCCGAGAGCAACTACGCCTACCTAACTCGCCCGGGCCCCTACATGCCCCCGCTGGAGGAAGAGCATGATGCTTGTGGTGCCGTGTACGTAGTTTCCGCCAGAGAACGCTTTCCCCCCGCTTGCGGCGCCAACGCCTGGTGGTCTTGCGTGATCAGACGTGGCACGCTTGTTGTGTGCTCATGGTGGTGGTCAATCAACGCTGGTCTGTCGTTGATAGCCTCTCAAACATTGCACAGCAAGTACCAGAGCCGACGTACGTCACCGTCAACAAGGGGTACAACGTGTTCACCTCTGAAGAACCGTTCCAGTGCGACATCACCCACAATCCCAATGGTGGTACGCCTAAAACACCACCGCTCGCCACGCTGGTGGGCAGTATCTCATTTCGCATCCCTGCTCGCTCGTCAGGTCTCCTCTCGGGTCTGCAAATCGCCTATGAAACATGGGGTGAGCTCAACGCCAAACGAGACAACGCTATTCTTCTGCACACTGGCCTTTCAGCCTCGAGCCACGCTGCGGCCCATCCCGTACGTAGCTCAGCCCCTGAAGTACTTCGCAAACAGACATGAACACCACTCCCCCTTGCCAAGTCATGCCGCTATGTTCCTATCCCTCGCGCATAGAATCATGATGCCCCAGGTTGGTGGGAAAAGTTTATTGGTCCAGGCAAGGCACTAGACACGGACAAGTTTTTCATTATTTGCTCCAACAACCTTGGGGGCTGCTATGGAACAACGTGAGCTTGCTTGCATGACCACCGCTTTGGGGCTAAAAGCTCTGCTTACACCCCGTGCCCCGTGTGGCCTCTCATTTGTTTATTGCGTGCTCCCATTCGTGTCCCACTTCCTGTAATGATTTCGCCTCCGCCAGCGGGCCCGCCCACATCAACCCAGCGGATGGCGAGGTAAATCCCGACAGATTTAATTTCATCGGGTCAATGGCCTTGGCTCTGCGTCACAAAGCTCATTGCCAGTTGGCATCCTGTGACTCACCTGTGTTTGCCCATCGCAGCGCTATGCGATGCGATTTCCGCTTGTCACCGTCCAGGACATGGTTCGCGCCCAGTTCCGCCTTCTGGACCACCTGGGCATCCATCGTCTCCACGCATCTGTCGGCTCTTCCCTCGGAGGCATGCAGGTGCGGAACGCTTTGGCCCATTGCTATATGATTGCCGCTGCTCGCGTTACCTTATTTTTGCAGCCATGTCTTACTCACCAGGCTGCCTGCCTCTGATCCGCTGACTGGCTGATCTTTGAACAGAGTCTTACAGCTGCCGCCCTCTTCCCCGAGCGCGTCAATAGCTGTGTGAGCATCAGCGCCGCTCACCGCGCTCATCCCACGGCCATTGCACTTCGGTTCGTGGCGCCCAAATCCAACTGGTCGAGTCTCAGTCAACCTGACTGCAACAACTTCTTACCATGAATCTACGCACTGTCTTCTTGTCATGGCGCCAACAGCTACATGCAACGTCGCATCATCATGTCTGACCCGCATTGGGCTGGTGGCAATTACTATGACAACACTTTTCCTGTCGTGGGCATGAAGCATGCACGGTCTGCCCAAAATGCCCAGCTCTACACCTCTCAACTCGAGTGTTTCAGCAGACCAGCATGTTGTGTCTGATTCTCACGCGACGCGTGTGTCCTGCTCTACATGATTTGTAAAATGCAGCGAGGTGGCTACCATTAGCTATCGGTCTGGCCCCGAGTGGTCGGATCGCTTTGACAGGTGCGCTGCGTGTCAGCCATAAGGCCTCGTCCGCTGTCCCGGTTACCTGTGCAATAAGATGCCCGTGCTCACGTTGAATGGGCAACCGCAGGCAGCGCATTGAAGGCGCCAAACACTCCTTTCAACCCGAGTTTTTGATTGAAACCTACTTGGACCATCAAGGCACACAAGCCTGCTTGCGCTATGACCCAAACTCACTTCTTTACATTTCCAAGGTAAGAAGGCCACGGGTGTCCGGGGTGCCGCTCGGCTTTTGGACTCGTCTTCCTATGTTCAATTTTCCTGCCATCTCACCCCTTGTCCTTTTTTTTTTTTTTTTTTTTTTTTTTGTTTTTATTTTATTTTTTTTTTTCTCTCCTCTCATTCTTTTTGGGTCATCGCTTCGACAGGCCATGGATCTCTTCGATCTCACGGAAGGCTTTGCTACACCTGAAGAGGCACTCGAACGCATCGGCTGCCCGACGCTGGTACATTGTTCTGCGTCCTGCCTGACCGTCCCCGTTTCAAATCCTTGGGCCCCAGTTCAAATCGGCTGTGGCTTGTGCTGTATCATAGGTGATTGGCGTCCAGTCTGACTTGCTCTTCCCTGTATCTCAGCAACAAGAGCTAGTGCGCCTACTCAGGTAACACTCGCTCAAGGAGATCGTATTGGGCCATTCAAGTATTTTTCTCATGCATGTTTGCTGGCAACTTGACAGGAGAAGTGGCAATCGTCGCGTGACGTACTTTGAGTTGGATGCACTCTACGGTCATGACACGTTTTTGATCGATGTTCAGACCGTGGGTGCGGCTGTTAAGGGACACATTGAACACAGTGCCGTGACCGATATTTAAACTCTCCGGCAGTGCCGATCGCCCAAGCTTGTTTCTTTCTCTTTCTTGTTCACATCTGAATGAACGAGTCGAGGCCCACTGCTCCATTCGCTTGCGTTATGATCATCAGGGACTTTGTTCTTCTTCTTCTTCTTTTTTTTTTTTAACATGTATGTCAACTTCAGGACCGTGTTGTCTTTGCGACATGTGCCATTTGCTGCCTGGGTCCGTTAGCTCATGAACTGATCGCAAATGTGAAGGGCATTCTCTGGACGAAACAAAGGTCAATTGATAAACTAGTAGGATTGAGACAATGGACGGTTGAACCCCCGCCAAGGTGTCTCCTGCCATTTTTACACGAGGCGTGGCGACACAAATTACCACAGCCACACAGCTTATGGCAAAAGAGGCTGGCGCTCCAGCTACACAGCAAAGCAGTCGGTGAAACCGCAGTCATGAGCGAGACATGGACAATCGTTGTAAGCCAGGATCGAGTCCAGCAAGACAACCATCATCATCCTGCCAAACACAAACCTTCTGATCGCCAATCGGGATGTGATCAATACCAGCTGCATCATGAACGAGAGCAAGCGACGCCCATTGTTAAAGGCCCAAATCATCGGCTTGCCAAAACAAACACCAATTGGTCCCACATCCAGACTCACCACGATCAATATCCTCCTCATCCACGACCTGGTACTTCAAGCCATAATACACGTTGGCATTACGACTAACACGAACAAGCAATCCGTCATGTTGAGACTGAAGCTGGAGGAGAGGGATCCGACCAGGAAGCAAGGCCTCGAAGAACACATTGAGACAAGCATTTGACTGCAACTTACATGCACTTTGTCACGAGAAGGTCGGCAATCACCGTAGCTAGACCCAATAGGCCAAGACCTAGGAACGAGAACATTGCGTAAGCAAGGTAAGACGAACGGCTGAGTCGATGAGGCATCGAGGCACCTTTGTCACCTGACGACACGTACCAGAGCCAAGTGCCACCAATAGCGGCACCATGCTAAAGCGACCGGCCGTGCCCGACACCACGAACACAAAACGCAAGCCTGTATTTAAAATCAGGGCGTCGAAAGCGGGCGAGCACAAGCCACATGTGAGATGTCCGCTTTGGGTGGCAAGGAGGCTAGCGAATACAAACTTTGCAAACACAAAACATGCACTCTCCATACCGTAAACCTTGTAAAGGTCACGCGCCGGTGGGTCGATCTGATAGTTCGCAAAGCGAAAATTGTACCCAGCTGAAAGCTGCAAGGAGAGGTCGTGAGGACAAGTGCAAAAGAGGAAGAATAAACAAGCCAAGAAGAACCCTGCAAGGCACTGACATCAGACTTGGTGTCCAGACGCGTGAACTTGTAAGTGGGACTGCATGTGTGGGCACTGCTGTCCAGGTTACAGTCGTAATTGACTTGGATCGTGATCAGAGCGCCGTTGCGCATGGCTTGATTCTCAAAGTCGGTGATGCCTAGAAATAAACAACATGGTCTTTCATGAGAGAGGTCGAGGGCTTGGACTGATACCGCTGCGCGACTACAATGGCGTTGCTATGAGCGGTGAAGCAGACACACCGGCTTCGTTGAGAATGGTATCAATCTTGAAGATGGGGCAGTGGCGTTCGAGCCCCGTTGGACTCCATGTGCATGTGTAGACGTCAACCTTGTCGCTCTCATCTGACAGCAAGAGATCAATGTTAGGCATCGCATCCGAGGGCCGTGGTAGCTGCTAGAGTTTGTGCTTAAGACGCGTACCCGTGCTGCCAAACTTGGCGCCAAAGCGCTGGAAGAAAACCGTGTTTTTAATGTAAACGGTAAACTGTGGGAAGAAACGGCCCGACATCACCATCACCATCAGGGATATGCATGATGCATCTTCTTTGCTTTCCCAGCTGGATGCAAAAAAGTGCGTCATGGAGGCTGTCGTGCGTTGCCGCGACTCAGCATATGAAACTTACGTTTTTGACTGCCGGCATGTGACGGGCATAAAACAAGCCCTGCCAAAGTACAACCAAGTGTGCAGACCAATGATGTAGTTTAGGGGGATGGACGACCATGTTGCAGCAACTGAACTGGTTGGATCAAAAGGGTGGCAGGCGGATGATTGTAGGGAGCGTGGCTCGTACATCAGTAGTTGCACGGTCGTCTTCGTCCTTGCTCTCCACCGGGCCCCAGCCATAGATGCGGCATCGCTGTAATAGACCAGGTCAATAAGAGCACTAATTGTTGGACAACAAGAGGGCATCAAAAAATTCGGATTGAATGCGACATCTAGCCGTACCTCTGTGGTCGTGTTGCACTCGCCTGTCAGCGCGCCATTACGTGATGTCGCAAATCTGGGGCAGTCGGCGTCCGACCTAAACAAGGGTGACGTGCCAGCGCCGACAAGGCATAGAGGCGGTGCAAATGACTTCTCATCTGCTTGTACATGTGTGCGCCACAGGGGAAGCGTGCCGGCTGACGTACGTGCAGTTGAATGCACTGGCACTGCCTGTCACGGGTGCTGCGGGGTCCTCATCCCTACGAAAGCGTAAACCAAGCAAATCAGACGCATCACACACACGTTGATGGGCAGTGTCTGATGAGTGGGAACCGCACCAGCCCTCGGCGCGCTGCGTCTGTTTGCTGGTTTGAATTGAGTTGCTGACAACGAAGAAGGCGTCGTTCTCCTGAGCCGGTTTGATGTAGTCAGGCGTGTCCCATCTACGAGAGAAAAGGCGTGCAAGAAAGGCCCATGTCGCGATGGGCGGTCACTACCACGTGCCTTCCTTCTGCGGTAGCATGGGGCAGCAAAAACGAACAGTGTGCCGACACGTACACGCGTAAATCGCCGGGCACACAGTCGTTCATACTGCTGATGTCGGTGTTGTCGCAGGTGATGGCGATGCCTTTGACTATTGGAGAGCCCAATTGGCCCCCCACCCCCCAGGCGCGTGATAGCAGGCTGTCAGCACGACCAGAAAGACTGGGCGAAAATCGAGAGGGTAAACGATGGCACGCGGGTGAGGTTCACCTTTGGTGAGGACGGTGCTCACGGCCGAATCAACCTCCTGGTACCCCTTCTGGTAGATGATGCCATAACCAACCACGTAGGCAAGGATGGTGATTTGAAGCAGGCGGAAGATCAGGCCCACCTATTGGTCCCATTGGTTCCCGGAGAGTCACCAGTCCATGCAAGCATAACCGGATGGAGACGGTGCCGCGTGGAATCGCAAGAGGCAGAGGATGGGAAGGATGAGGCGAGGCGCAAAGCAGCATCTGATGTCGTCTGACTCGAGGAGCGACGCAGAAACAGGCGCATGCGACAGCATGTACCTTCTTGGAGCGGATGTGCACGGTCTTGAGGGTGTCATCTACGATATGAGGAGGTGAGGTCAAAATAAGTGAGCTTGGATGGACGGCTCGTGGCAAGGATCCTGAGCTTGGCACTTACACTCGAGCATCGAGTATATGCCCTGTTGAATAGAGCCCCAAAAGCCCGAGGCCGCCATGATTGCAGAGTGCTGCCACAAATGCCAGGCCGAAAGGGCTGCTCGACACGAGACGATCGAGAACACACATGAACAAGCCCCATGTCAGGCTCAATGAAGTATTGATGGACGCTGCATTTGGGCATTACCCCACTACCTGCATCCCTCAGGCCCTTGTAGATCTATACTCGGAACCCTCTTCTAACAAGCCCCATCACCGCCACCACCAGCCGATCCACCAGCCGCCGATCGCTCTACACACATCACATGCGCACCTGTTGAGAGTTGCAAGCCAGGGGATTTTTTTTTTTTTTCCACAAAATGATGGAAGTTCAATTTTTGTGTGATGATTCCTTGTTTTTTTTTTTTTTTTTTTTTTTTTTTTGCTTTGGGGTGGGCCAAGGCAGTGTGTGTGTGTGTGTGTGTGTGTGTGTGTGTGTGTGTGTGTGTGTGTGTGTGTGTGTGTGTGTGTGTGTGTGTGTGTCTGGGTGTGTGTGTGTGTGTGTGTGTGTGTC